GGATGGAGGCAAGCCGGCAAAGGGTGCAGAGCACATGGGAGGTGGCAGGGGATAGGCCATGGGACCCATTTATGCTACGCCGTGTTTAGTTTCATTTACGTTCGCTTTATTTGCAGTGTAATGTTTAAATAGGATTAATTAATTTGGGGTTGTCTCATAATTTTTATCAAGTTCGTTTTTTTTTGGTACATTTAATGTTTAAATAAATATTTGATGTGACTAATCTTGTAGCTTAAAGGATTTTGAGGTGGAACTCGTAATTTTTCCATCAAACGTTGAGCGCTAGAACGACATTAATCTTTTTTGTTCATTCTACAAATTAATACTATAGTATGCATCGCACATGCCATGTTCTTGATTCGATATATAATATTAAATGTAGATCAAAAAAACTAATTGCAGATTTTGTGGGAAATGAAACTGAAACGTTTTGCTTTAATCCATGATTGAACGTTATTTGCTAAATAAAAAAGCGAGCGTCTAGAACGACATTTAATCTGGGACTGAGGGAGTACCTCTTAGACACAGTGCACCATGGCTAAGCAAGCAGGACGATGTCCACTTGTTTTAGTTCATTTGACTTGAATATTTGATCGATTGGAGCTTGCTAAAGTGGACTAAATTTGCATACCACGTAATTAGTTTAAGGAAAAACAAAGTGAACTAAATGATCTATAAGGTTGTATTTGGTTGAGGGCTGGTGTTGAGGTGGACAACAGCTGAACTGGTGGGATGGGACTATCGGAGGAAATATTCTCTGCAGTACTGCTGACTGGTTTGTGTTGGCTGTGGTTCGTGAAAAAGTACTGGTGGTTGGTTTGTGTGAGAGAGAAATACTGTTTCGGCTGGAAATTTACGATCGTTTACGACAAGCCACAGCCAAATGAACAGGCTATTTCCGAGTGTCCGAACTGAGCTACGAGCTCATCCCTCATAGACACCGTTCTCTTCCGTTCGTGTGTGTGCTTTTCTTCCTCTTCCCTCCTTCCATTTGGCCATGCCTCGTCACCATCAGCCACCTGCTCATGCCCTCTCAGCGGTGGCTGCTATGCTCGACTTGTGTCAAGTCCCGAAGAAGGCGACCACGCCATGCTCCACCTAACCCCATAAAAGGCAACGCTGGTGAGGACAGGCGGGCGACTCTAATTCGCACAGCTGGCCTTGGCCCCCACCACGAGCTCGGCCACAACCACGACAGGGGTAGCCTTTATTGCCTGGCCCCAATGGGAGGGCAAGCTCGATGCTGCCAGACGAGGTGGATGAGACAATGGTGGCTGGGGCAGGGCACGATGGCAGCCTTGGCGGCATGGACTGGGTTATTTATGTCCCTCTAACTAAACACATAGTGCAGAGACATCCCCATCCCCTTAATCAAACGTAGAGATGGAACCATTCCGTCATAGAAAACTAAGATGACCCAACCGATTGCATCTTGTCCCAAAACCAAGCACACGCTGAGACACCGGTCCATCTTTGGCATTGACATGGTCTACAAACCATTACCCGGTGATTCTAGGTGGGGAATTCAAAGAAGATGCTGCAAATCTGATCCAACCAATCAGACTTCCATACACTTGGTTGTTTACAAAGCTCCAGGACATGATGGTTTCCTAGCAGAGTTTTATCAGGTTTTCTGGAATGTCATAAAAGAATACCTCATGGCTTTGTTCTAGGAATTCCATCAAGGATCTTTGCCACTTCATAGCCTCAATTTTGGAACAATAATCTTACTCCCAAAGAAAAACGAGGCAACACATATTCAACAATATAGACCCATATGTTTGTTAAATGTTAGCTTCAAAATCTTAACAAAAGTGGCCACCAATCGAATAACGAGCATAGCACATAGAATTATTAGACCGACACAAACAGCCTTTCTACCAGGCAGAAACATCATGGAAGGAGTAGTCATTTTACATGAGACAATTCATGAGTTACATACCAAAAAAACAAGATGGTATTATTTTCAAGATTGATTTTGAAAAAGCAAACGATAAAGTAAAATGGGATTTCCTTCAGCAAACACTTAGAATTCAAGGTTTCTCCGAGACTTGGTGTAAATGGATCGAACACTTTACACAAGGGGGTAATGTAGGTATTAAAATAAATGACCAGCAAGGTGCTTACTTCCAAACAAGGAAGGGCTTATAGCAAGGTGATCCACTGTCTCCCTTACTGTTTAATATAGTGGTAGATATGCTGGCTTTACTCATTGCCCAGGCTAAAGATGATGGTCATGTTGAAGGGGTGATTCCACATTTGGTAGAAAATGGATTGTCAATACTATAGTATGCGGGACGATATAGTCATTTTCATGAGTCGTGATATTGGAAAAGCAATAAACATGAAGTTCTTACTTTGTGTTTTTGAACAATTATCCAGCTTAAAAATAAATTTTCACAAAAGTGAAATCTTTTGCTTTGGTAAAGCAAAAGAATATGAAGTGGCTTATTCACAGTTGTTTGGTTGTAAGACTGATGATTTCCCCTTCAGATACCTGGGCATCCCTATGCACGTTAGAAAACTGTCCAATAGAGATTGGAAGGTCATAGAAGAGAGATTTGAGAAGAAATTGAGTGCATGGGAGGGAAAGGTGTTGACAGTAGGAGGTCATCTAGTGCTCATAAATTCGGTGCTATCGATACCAAAAGGAGTGTCCAAAAAGTTGGATTACTACATATCAAGATTTTTTTTTTGGCAAAATGATCAACACAAGAAAAAATATAGACGGGTCAAATGGGATATTATCTGTCAACCTAAACAACAAGGGGACTTGGTATACAAAACTTGGATTTACAAAATAAATGCCTACTCAGCAAATGGTTGTTTAAGCTATATAACGAGGATGGGATTTGGCAATCACTATTGAGGAACAAATACCTGAGAAACAAAACTTTAGGTGAGGTAGCAAAAAAAGCTACTGACTCGCAGTTTTGGAAAGGGCTCATGAATGTGAAAGACCAATTTTTAAACCTTGGATCCTTCAAAGTAGGGAATGGCTCTCAAATAAGATTTTGGGAAGATAGATGGTTGGGCAACCAGCCACTAAAACTTAAGTACCCTTCTTTGTTTAACATAGTTCGTACGAAGCAAGACACTATAGCTAATATTCTTCGGACAACGCCTCTCAATATCTCGTTTAGGAGACGTTTGGTGAGGCAAAACTTGAGGGATTGGAACATAATTGTGTCTTCTTTAACGGACTTGAATCTTCAGGATAGCCCAGATGTTTTTAATTGGTCTCTACATTCAACGGGACAATTCTCAGTCAAATCCATGTATGCTGCTCTATTTAATAATGGTGTGAGACTTTCACAAGAAATTTGTCGTGCAAAGATTCCAACTAAGATCAAGATCTTTATGTGGTATTTGAAAAGAGGTGTAGTTTTAACTAAAGATAATTTGGTTAGACGGAATTGGAATGGGGAAAAAATTGTTCGTTCTGTCACACGCTTGAATCTATTCAACACCTATTTTTCGATTGTGCATATGCTAATTTCTTGTGGAGAGCTGTTCATTTATTGTTTCGTATTCCAAAACCAATTAACATATATGACTTATTTAATCGTTGGTGTAAATTGTGGGGGGGGGGGCAAACATAATCTACTTTTACTAACTGTGGTAGTAGCATTGTGCTGGACCATTTGGGTTACAAGAAACGAAGTGGTGTTTGACAGATGTAGACTAAAAACTTTCTTGTAGGTACTATTCAGGGGAACGCATTGGCTCCGGCAATGGGCACAGTTATAGCGCCATGAGGACAAGCGAGAGGTCGTCTACTAGAGGAGGCTGCGCTGCGTTTCTTTGCGTCGTTTGGATGGCTATCTACTTGTTGGATTCGTCTTCATTAGTTAAAACCTTGGTGATCTTTTAAATTATGTCGGGAAGTGTTTGGGCTTGGACCTTGGGTTCAAGTAGTTTGTAATAAGTGGTATGATTCTACCCTATGTAGATGAAATCGGATGTTTATCCATTATCTAAAAAAATAATTCTCTCGTGTGCAAGAGGGAGAAGCAATTCAGCTAACTAACTAAGGTCATGTGTTGGATCCAATGGTTTGAAGTTTAGCCACTAAGGTCCCTTTGAAACGCAGGAATTTTCACATGAATTTTATAGAAACTTCACAGAAGTCAGTTCATTTTTCATAAGAAACACACATAAACAGGAAAAAAAATTATGTGTGTTCCAAAGGGGACCTAAACCACTTTAACTCTCGAGGCTCCAAGCAGAAGGTCTAAAGTGCTATCTAAAGTTTAGCCACCTCATAAAAACTTTAGACCGCACAAGTGAGATAAAGTAATTTAAAGTTTTAGTCTTCAACTTTAGCCAACTAAACTTTAGATCATTGAAACCAAACAGGCCTTAAGTGTAGTTGGTCTGCTTCCTTTTGCTACAACATAGGACATGATGACTGTGAGTACAAAAGCGAAAAAGAAATAAAAACGTTGCCCACAATTTGGGAAATCGGTACACAAAAGGCAGCGCAATAGCATTGTTTTACACAGTGTTGTCACTGGGCCTGCAATTTGAGGCTCAGCCGATGAATTATGGGCCATGCAAGGCCTCGTTTTCTTTCCATTGGATCCATGCATGATCCTGCAATTGACTGTATTAAAAGAAAGTAGCAGCAGTTTTGACCACACCTGGAAACGTAGCTTCTTTAATTTGTACCCCTCCTTGTTCTAATAATAAAAGTCCACATTGTTTCAACAAAAAAGTCCACATGTACTCCCCAACGAAGCTATAGCCAAAAATAAGCTAGAGGCAGGTTAGGCGATGCATATGCTTGTACCAGGATGAACAAGAACCGGCCAACAAAAATGGATGCTGCTCCTGCATGCCTGCATGCATCCTCCCATTCGTCTCATCACTCCAAATTAACCTATGAACACAATGCCTCACAACTCCGTTCACTCAATAATTGGCCATAGAAGAATTAATAAATAGTACTATCGTAGAAGAAACTACTCTGATCTCTTTCTGTTGCCATAATCCCAGCAATGGCGCAAAACTGCCATCGTCCTCCTCCGTCTGGTGTTGCTCTTGTTGCAATAACCCTGCTGCTACCATGTTTCGTCTCGGTTGCATCCTCGTCGCCGCCGCCGTCGTCGTCCGGCGGGACCAGTAACAACATCAAGCTGCCGACGGACGGTGCTGCTGCTAGCAGCTTCACCGAGTTCGTGGCGGAGAACGTGGAGCTGTACAACAACGTGAGCACTGAGCAGCACAAGTACGGGGCCGGGGGCAAGGTGTGGGACCCGGAGCTGTTGGCGGCGCAGGGCATGGCGGTGCGCTACGTGGTGAGCCCCGACGGCCATGGCAAGTTCAGGAGCATCAGCGAGGCCATCAAGGCCGTGCCGGACGGGAACAAGAAGAGGATCATCCTCGACATCAGGACGGCCACCTACAAGTAATAATTATGATAAGAGATTTGAATCTTCCTCTTCTCTGATAAAACAAACAAACAAATTCGAAAAATGCATGCAGAGAGAAGGTGCTTGTCCCGTACACGAAGCCGTTCATCACGTTCTCGGGCAACCCCAAGAACCCGCCGGTGATCATGTGGAACGACAGGTCGGCGACCCACGGCAAGGACGGCAAGCCCGTGGGCACCTACGGCAGCGCCACGGTGGCCGTGGACGCAGACTACTTCATGGCCTCCGGGATCCACTTCAAGAACACCGCGCCGATGGCGGCGCCGGGGTCGGAAGGCGGGCAGGCGGTGGCGCTGCGCGTGTACGGCAACAAGGCGGCCTTCTACGACTGCACCATCGACGGCGGGCAGGACACGCTGTACGACCACCGGGGCCTGCACTACTTCAAGTCCTGCCACATCCTGGGCACCGTCGACTTCATCTTCGGCTTCGGCCGGTCCCTGTACGAGGACTGCGCCATCATGTCGGTGACCAAGGACGTGGCGATCGTGACGGCGCAGCAGCGGAGCAAGAGCATCGCGGACGCCCTGGAGACGGGCTTCTCCTTCCTCCGGTGCCGGATCGGCAGCACCACTGGCGCCGGGCAGATCTACCTGGGCCGCGCCTGGGGGGACTCGTCCAGGGTGGTGTACGCGTACACCACCATGGGGAAGGAGGTGGTGCCCGTCGGCTGGGACAGCTGGACCATCCAGAAGCCCGAGAAGAGCGGCATCTACTACGGCGAGTACCAGTGCTCGGGCCCCGGCGCGCTGCCGCACAAGCGGGTGGGATGGTCGCTCGTGCTCAACGACGCGCAGGCCAAGCCCTTCACCGGCATCCACTTCATCTACGGGGACTCGTGGATTCTGCCGCCGCCACATCTGGCGTAGTAGCGGAGAGAGAGAGAGAGAGCCCAAGCAGCATCCCTCCCTTCTCCCACCGGCTGTCCGGCCCACTGGGCTGATATATATAGAGAAGCCCTCGTTAGTTTGCGAGCTGGATGGGATTGCTTCGCCTTCACAAATTGGGGTTTGGGGCTTGAGCGTTTATACCCCCGTTTTGCAGTGAAATGACAATTTCGCTCTTATTTTCTGAACTTTATGATTAACTTTTGGGTAAAAGGACAAGTTTGTACATGTAATTTTGTCCCTGTTTAACGGAACAGAAGGAAACACTAACAAGAAAAAAAGGAATTAGAACAGACGAAGAAAAAAAAGAAAGAAACACGGCAGACCACACTGGTCGTGACCCGCGTGCGTTGCGGTCTCCGAGGATGAGCCGAGTAGGGACCATACTGTTTCCGTTTTCCTTCTATTTCCGTTCGTTTTTTCTATTTCTGTTTTCCTTTTTTTGTGTTCTCTTTTTCTTGCGTTCTTTTTTCTGTTTCCGTTTTCCTTTTTCTTTTTTTCTTTTTTCCCTTTTTCTCCACGTTATGTATCTTTTTTTTCTTTTTTCTTTTTTCTGTTTCCATTTTCCTTTTTTTGTTCTTTTCCTTTTTGTTTCCAAGTTGTTTGGTTTCATGTTCCGTTTTTTTCCGATTTTTCAATACTCTTCGTTCTAACTTCTACTATTTTTCCTATAAAGATTATAAAACAATAAATATAGCATGACTTATGAGTCTGGGTCAATACACGACCCAATATGTTTTGAAATTGAACTCCATATCGCACTAGACAAGAGCTATTCTGACTGGCATGAGCATGGGGTTATATATATATAAGTCTGGGTATAAATAACTCTTCATTATCCGGTAGTTAGAAGTATATAGACAAAAAAAATGAATGGACCAAAAAAATGACCGGAAATTTTGTCTGGATTTTTTTCTCTAATTCTACTTCTATTCTATTTCTATTTGGATTTGGATTCGACTTCGATTCAATTAGGGCAGGAGATTTCCTTGTTTGCCCTGTTGTATACGTAGTAGTTCATGTGGGTTTTTTTGTTGAGATAAATGTCGACTTATTATTAGAACAAGGACGACTAAAAATTAACGAAGCTACATTTCCATGTGTGGTCAAAACTGTTTTTCCTTTCTTTTGCGAAATGGACTTGCTAGCCCTCAGACGTGCGATCTGGGGCGCTAGCTTCGGACGGTCCCATGCGCGCAAGAGGAGCCCGCGCCGCCAATTTTTTTCGCGCACCCCACCACGTGGGCCCCACGCCTACGCTCGGTTTCTCTGCGCCCATTTGGCAGCGCCCCAGCAGCAGGCCCGCGCCGCCTGGACATCACCCAACAGCTGCAGCTGATGGTTGTGATAGGTGGGTCCTATTGCAATATGTGCAACACCGGATCTACTTTTGCACACCCAGATGAAATACTTACAATATACGTTCGAAAATAACTGAAACACTTGCAGCATATGTCGAAAACACTTGTAAAACACCTGAAAAAGACTTGAAAGTCATTCCAAACATATGCAACATCCAGATAAAACACTTGCAACAGACGTATGAAACACTTGAAGTATATGCTTGCAACATGCATGTGTATGCAACATTCAGATCTACTTTTGTATCATCTAGATGAAAACACTTGCAAACATACGTCTGCTACAAATAAAACATGTAGAACATACACTTTGAAGCGTGTGTATAGCCATTACAACATGTGCAATATCCGGATCTACTTTGTAACATCGATATAAAAGACTTGCAACATACCTCTAAAACACTTGAAACATACTTTTGCAACATGTTGTTTCAACGCAAACATGTCATTGCTGCTTCGGCGAATAGAGGCTTGTCGGCGCGGAGCTCGCCGGCAACGCGAAGCTGGGGAGGCGGTGCACAGAGGGCGAGTGTAGGGGTGGCGGACGGCGGTGGCGCAGAGGGCGGGTGGGCACGGGTGGTGCAGAGAGTGGGTGGAGCGTCCGAAACTTCGACGCTTGGGTCAGAGCGTTTCCGTTGAAGAAAAGCTACATTCTTTTTCTACAGTTAATTGTAGGATCATGGATCCAAATCCAATGGAAAGAAAACAAGGCCTTGGCCCATCATAGTTCATCGACTGAGCCACAAATTGCAGGCCCAGTAACAACACCGCAATGATGCTAGCTGTGTTGCCTTTGCCTACCGATTTTCTGAATTGTGGGCAAGGTTTTTTTTCTTTTTCTCCTTTTCTATGTAATAACAAATATATTCGTGCGTTGCAACGAGATGTACTGTCTGTTGATGGTCACCTGAACGATCTACGCTTCAATATTTGTATAAGGATCATGCCAGCTATTCCAATACATCTTAGAGCATCTCTAAGAGTCTTTCTAAAGCTCACTATTTAAATCATCATTTGAAGAGTTATTTGCATAAAAATTATTTTTTATATCTTCTCTCTCTCAAACAGTTTTTATATCCCATGTGCACTCTAGTGAGCCATTCTCATTTTCTATCTTCAGCTAGCGAAAAATGTGAAATATAAAATGCCTGTCGGGTTCATGAACCCGGGGTCCCTAATGAACTTGCTTCCTAGCAAAAGTTTGGCCCAGCAGAAGACGTTGCGAACGACGCGCAACTCCTGGGCCGGCCCAAAAACCTAACGACAGGCCAGAAGAGCGATCCAGTCTTTGACTAGAAGGCCTGGCCAAGGAGGAACGACGCTCGCTTCCGACTCCGACTCGCCTCTCCGACCGGAAGGCTGGCCAAGGAAAGGACAACGCTCGCTTCCGACTTTGGCCCACCTCTCTAGGCCGGAAGGCCTGGCCAAGGAGGAACGGCGCTCACTTCTGACTCCGGCCCGCTTCTCCGACCGAAAGGCCTAGCCAAGGAGGGAAGGACATTCACTTCCGACTCCGACCCGCTTCTCCGACCGGAAGGCCTGGCCAACGCCGCTTCTGACTCCGACCCGCGTCTCCGACCGAGGCTGCGCTGTCATTTGCCATATCTGGTGAACACGATAAAACCTCCCACATGCGTCTGATGTAAACAGTATTGTGGGCGCCTACAACCATCTTGTACCCGACGGCGTGGGCAAAAAGACTTAGGAGCATACGTGCACACACTCTCTCTCTCTCACTTATAAAGCCATCCCCTTCATCTATAAAAGGAGATGCGCTCTCTCCCAACAAGAGAATGATTCGAACACACGATCGATTCAAACAACAGCAGACGGATCACTCCAATCCACTCTCTGCTAGCTTTAGACACTCTAAAGCTACACAGAACACGCTCGAATACTCAGTGCACGTAGGAGCTCCCGTCACTCTCGACCCTTCAATCCAGAGTCCGACCGGACGTCTCGCACCCCCCATCTTACTCCTACTCGTTTGTAACCCCACTACAAACTTCAAGCACCTGGGCTCAGGAATAAAGTCTTCCGACCGACTCAAACTGGACGTAGAGCACGTTGCCTGAACCAGTACAAACCCTGTGTCATTGAGTGCTATGCCACATCCGATCACAACGTACGACAAAACTATAAATATTTACATGTTGGTCACTTTTCGCACCAACAATCTATATTTGGATAACCAGAGATAAAAAAAGTTGTCAAAGCGTATTTTTTCATCCAAATCTCTATTTCTCGATTAGAGAGAATATAGAGTCTCTTGGAGTTTCTCTGAAGCGAACTTCGTTCCATCGTTGGACATGTCTTGAAATAAAACTTCCCATTGTCAGTGGACATATGTTGTGCTAACATGTTTGAGGATTAATTGATAATCTGGATTATATATACGACATGAAAATCATGAGGGTATTGCAGAAAGTAGAAAAAATTAGATGGAAATACTCTTTTAATTTTATGTTTGGATGACGTACAACCTATTAATTTAGCGGTAGGCCTGAGCAAACTGAGCCTGGCCGGTAGGCCTGGCTCAAGTCAGATGGGATTTGGCCTGCCCACGAGCCTTAGTGTACACGGCCTGGACACAAATCCCGCTGTCTAGAGAATTTATTCTCGACCCAAACCCAGCCCGAAACATTTGTTTAAGCTATTTTACACTATAAACTACACGATCAGCCCACCTAGGTCTGGGCCCGATCTAAGCCCGCCCAAAAAAAATATGTTCGACTTATCCAGTGGGACGGTTATGGGCGAGACATTTCGGCTATAATAGTCGAGCTTTTTTTTTGCTCAGCTCAAGCCTAACACAATCTTCAAAATGCTCAGATCTACCTTACGGGCTTACGGCATACGGTTCCAAGAAAAAGAAAATTGAAAAGAAAAAACATGAAAAGAAAAGACAAGAGAAAATTGAAATGAACAGGAAACATGAATGAAAAACCACTGGAATGTAAATTGAAAACACAAAACAAAAAAGGCATGGAAAAAATCTATACCTAATAATAAAGTGGCAAAATTTCAGCCCATTTTTGTGGTCCATCCATTTTTTTTGTCCGTCTCCCTCTGACTATCAGACGATGGAGAGTTTCCTCAGTCCGGACTTATATATAATTTGTGCTCATACGAGTTGTAATAGCTCTTGTCTAGCGTGATACAGAGTCCGATTCCAAAATGTATTGGATCGTGCATATGACCTGGACCCTTGAGATAACTTGGATAGTTAGAATTCTAATCCTAAACTGAATAGGAATTGAAATCCTAATCAAATAGAAAAAGAAAAAAAATACAAATAAGATAAATCTTACCCTGAATATTAAACCATGGCTCCTCCTTTGGTTTTGTGGACGGTTGGAGTACATTAGGTTTGTTGTGGGCTATTCCAATACACAATTACCTAATGCTATCTCTGGATTGTACAATTCCTTTCCTATTCCAATATACAATTTCTTTCCTATTCCAATACGCCATCTCTGAATACTTCTATATACTTCAACTATTGAATCAACAAAATTATCGTGTCATATCTTTATTGTTATATCGTCTCAAAAAAATCTTTATGTTATATAGGATGTTCCAAATTTGCTTTTCTATTATTTTTTCACGCCACTTTTTTTTGGATGGATTTGTTTCCCTCACGTGATGTTTCTACGTTTTCCTTACGTAATATTTTCCCCTTTTAATTTTCCACGTATTTTTTATATGATTTTTTTCCTTTTTCCTCCACTGCACATGATCGTTTCCGATTCTGTATGGGACATGATTTTTTTCTGTTTTTTTCTCAAGGTGGCTTCCGATATTTGTTTGGTAGTTTTATCTGTTTTGGTGATTTGTTATTTGTTTGTCCAATGGAGATTAGTGTTTTTGTTTAGTTTTGTAAATGTTTTTTTTCATGAACCAGGCAAACTAGAAGCAATGAGATAAATCTCAGACGTACTTACGTACACGTACATGATGATTTCTGATTTGTTTGACAAATTTTTTCTTCTGTTTTTTCCAATGTACTCTTGTCAATTATTCATGTGGGATTATATTTATTTGATTCAAGGTTGGACTAAACTCATTTAAATTTTACAAAAAATGTACAATCACCGAGTAATAAATTGTATGCCTTGTTGCAACGCATGGGCATGTTTTGCTAGTTAAAACAAAAAGAAAAACAGAAAAAACTCAAAAAACAGAAAAATAATACTTCTCGACAACGGACTCCTCGGACATGAGTTTGTGCTCGGCAGATGGAACTGAAGAAAACACAAGAAAATTTTAAAAATAATAGAAAAGGATGAAAATCATTTATTTTTAAAAAACAATAAACCATAGGAGCGGAGGGAGGGTCGGAAAAAAAAACTTCTACACCTAATCGGAACGGGAATTTTTTTTACGAAGCTAGTGGAGAAAAAAACACAACCATAACCTCCTAGGTACGGAAGAGCTGAAAAAAAGGAATCGGACTCTATTTAATATTTTAATATTAGAATCTAACTTGTAAGAACATGACTCGTGAGTCTAGATAGGGAAGGCATGATTCAATACGTTTTGGAATCGGACCTTGTATCGACTTCGTCTCGACACGAGCTATTCTAACTCATATAAGCACGGGTCATATAAAAATACAAACGAAAGAAATTCTCCACTATCCGATAGTTGGAGGGAGACAGACAAAAAAAAAAGATGAAAGAAAAAAAATAACCGAAAATTTTACCTCTTTATTATTATGTATAGATTTTCATATCAATAATTTTGCAATTTTGATGTAGGTTATAGAGGTGCTCGTGGATGACGGGTGAAAGGAAGATGAGGCTAAGGGGTATTCAGGTACTTTTCCATTAATTTAATTTATTTTTTTTCTACTTTTTATTCATTTAATCTATCAACAACAACTAATGTCATCCAAAGCAAGGGCAAACGGTAGCTAAAAATAAAACACACAAAGAGTAAAAGCACAGAGTCAAAGAAAAAAGAGGTAAAATCACCGTTAGATTCTATAGCAAGGGCGGAAACACCAAATTCTCTAACAAATTTGGAGAGTGGACGGTGTGGCCTTCTTTAATTTGAAGGACCTCTCTGAGTCTCTTTGGCCAACGATTTTACAACCGAACGAATATATCGGTGTACGTGACTATCAGGGAAATTATAGTCATTCAGTAACTGGTATTTTTTGTTCGTAAGTTTGTTCACAAGGAATGATTCTATTTTGGTTTTGGTTTATTGAAATGAACTAGCAGGGCAGGATTTGAAGCTACAAAGTGGAGTGGTGACCGGCAGGTACAACTCTCTAACTTACAGGAACGTAGCAGCTCCCAAGTTCACGTGTTTTTTTTTTTGGAGAAAAGGAAGTCGCCACGTAAAGATGGTTTTAACTGTCGGTTTTATTGTAAGCCCTTGTTTAGTTTTCACCCTTTCAAAATTTTTTTTACATCGAATGTTTGTGTCGGATTACATTAAAAAACCCCGTACGAAAGAAAATGTAGACGAAAAGAAAAACTAATTGCACAGTTTGGTGCGAAATTGCGAGACGAACGTTTTGAGCCTAATTAGTTCATGTTTGAACATCATTTGCCAAATAAAAACGAACGTGCTACAGTAACCCAAAATCCAAATTCCTGCAACTAAACACAGCCTAAATCAAAACCGTAAGGTCGAGAAGCAGCAGTAGTGTGCCCTGTGAGTTGAGAGAAAAGCAGACAGGCTGCTTTCATGGGTAGTGTGGTGTGCGTGGTGGCGCGGATGGAACGGGATCTATTTAATTTTTAGTTAAAGACCCGATGGGTGATGCAACCGCCCGCAGTGGAGGGCGATCCAGGTCCAGCAACCATCGAATCCAGCTCCAGCCCGGCCACTTTGAATTGAATGCGCGTCCCATCCAGCATTCAAAACCTCCATCGACGCACAGCAAAGGTAGCCAGCTAGGGACTGCTGCCACGGGAGCTCCGATTTCGATCGTTTTCGCGTGCATTTGCCGGCCGCTCTGCATGTTCTAGTCCTGTGACTGTAATTCCTCCAAGGTTTAAGGGAGTGCTCCCTCCGTCCAGAAAGGTTCTAAAGATATAATTACGTTTTTTTTTTCTGGACAGAGGGGAGTAGTATATACGTACGCTCGCACGTGCTAGTGGTAGTAACTCCACGCAGTAATGGGACACAGAAGTACTACTACGACGTACTCATCTCCGGAGGCGCCAACATGTACGTACGACACAGCGTAGTAAAGAATAAACACGATGGATCATGGACATTAATTCATAGAGATAGCATCACTTTCTTAATCTTAAGCGAGTTTTAATAATAACAGCAGCAGGAAATTTAGAAGAAGTAAAATAATAAATAACAGATCGTACATGCGGGCGTGGATTATTCTGGAGAAAATCGAGCACCTATCGATCGAGCAGCTCTGCCGTCTCTCTCGATTAATATGCTCGTCGTCTCCGACGGATACATGAGTAAATCTCCTCCTCCTCTTTAATTTGTGTTTTTTCTTCATTTCCTCTGACGATGCGTGTGGTGGTAGCTCCGTGGCTGTGGACGAACGAACGCGAAGGACTTTATAGTATTAAATTAAATAATGGCCGTCATGGCCGCCGGCGCCCGGCCCGGTGGGTGGGTAGGTGCACCGTGCACGTACGGCGGCCGGGTCGGTCATCGCCCACCCATCAGTTCTTGGCGGCCACCCCCTCGTCGTGCACCACCTGGTCCCCCGTGTTCATCTCCTTGAGCTTCTCCTCCACCTTGTCGACGCCGGCGGCGGCGGCGGCGTCCTTGCCGTCCTTGCTCCCTTCCTCGGTGGCGGCCGCTTTCTTCTCGTCCCCCTCCGCCGCCGCTTCCTTTTTCTTCTCCACCTCCTCCGCAGCACCGTTGCCGTTGCCGTTGCCGGCAGCAGCAGCACCGCCAACGCCAACGCCACCGACGTTCCTGGGAACAACAACGCGGCCATCGTCGGCCTCGAACGCCTCGACGGGGAAGCTCCTCGACAGGCCCCCGATCGCCTTGCAGTGGAGCTTCCCCTGGGGCGGGTCATCGACGCAGATCTCGTGGAGCGTGACCCAGATGAGCATCTCCTTGGCCTTGACGCCCGTGATCTTCTTCAGCCGGCCCTTGTCGGCCACCGCCGACACCTCGGCGCCGTAGCTCACGTGGCGGCCGGCTTTCGCGAAGTAGTGGTCCACCTTGCGGCGCTGCTTGAGCCACACGAAGCCCGTCTCCTCCACGTACCCGCACTCGATGATGTCCCGCAGCGGGAGCAGGCCGCTGGGGAGGCCCGTCTCGTGGAGGAGCAGGCGGGTCTTCTCTTGCCCGCCGCGTCGCCCAGGTAGATCTCCGCCTTCGCGCGCACCTCGTCCGGGATCGTCAGCGTCATCTTCGGCGGCGGCGGCGCTGTAGGTGTGGGACTGTGGGTTGGTTGGTTGGAGAGTGGTGGAGTGAGAAGTGAGGAGGAGGAGGCGAGTGTTGCGTGTTTGGAGAAGGGAGCACGCGGTGCGTGGCCTTATATAGGACTAGCACTACAACTACAAGTACTAGGGAGAGCGAGAAGGGTGCGAATTGAAGAGAGCGAGTGTCCCAGCTAACTCACTGGATTCGAAAAAAAAAACTCACTGGGCCCTTGTTTATTGTTTAGATTGGTTCAAAGGCCTTGTTTAGATCACCTCTAAATTCCAAGTTTTTTCACTCTCTCTCCATCACATCAATTTTTAGCTGTTTGTATGGAGCATTAAATGTAGGTAAAAAAAATAACTAATTGCACAGTTTAGTTGGAAATCATGAGATGAATCTTTTGAGCTTAGTTGGTCGGACAATATTTACCAAATAAGACGAAAGTGCTACTATTCATTGGGTTGAAATTTTTTGCAATCTAAACATGGCCAAAGTTTCAAGTTTTTTCACTCTCTCTCCACCGCATCGAATCTAGGGACACATGCATGCAGCAGTAAATGTAGATAAAAAAATAACTAATTACACAGTTTGATTGTAAATTACAAGACGAATCTTTTAAGGCTAGTTAGTACATGATTGAACAATAATTATCAAATCCAAACGAAAGTACTATAGTGTCAAATACTGATTCCTAACACCTCGGTTCGATCGGTTTTCATTTGGAATCAGTGACGAGTGACATGATTCGTCAAGTGTCCATTGTTACACGTCGTACATACGTTAGTGCATAATTAGAGTTTTGATTCTCTCTCTCTTCTATGGTGGTTGAGCCATTTATAGAGCAAATTAGACCAACGTTTTGAAGATACTAGGTTAAATCAATTAGGGTAACAAGATTGTACGCTTATCTAGTGGTTCTTCCTTGATTTTAGTGGACTATTAGTTAGTTTTATGGATATAGATCTAGATCCAGATCTAGAACTAACTATGTATGGTTTAGGTTTTTTTACTAATAGCATTCATATTATTATTTTTTGCTTCGGAAGTATGATTAAGTTTGCACGAAGGATAGTTGGTAAAATATTAATTGTTGCTATTTATTTTCTTTAAAATTATTTATTATAATAAAAAAGTGGAGAAATATATGTTTCTAATTAGATAGATAATGAGGTTATATAGGAGACTAGCATAGAGATGGGTTGGGTACATGCAGTGTGGTGCAGGCTACTACTGGATTTGGTCCTGTTCGCTTGAACTTATGAGCTCTAGTATATGTTTTTCTCTCACAACAAATCAGTGAAGAGTACTTTTAGCTAGGCTTTTTAACGAAGCGAACAGGGCCTTGGTATTTGTTTTGCTTCACTTGGAAGCAAGGGAAGGCGACGATAAGAGAGTAGGGGTAGATGTGGTGGGGGGTTGCGCTAACATCTTTTCGTTATTATTAATTACTGTACGTTGGATGGAGGAGTTCGATCGAATTCGGTTCGATCGGTTTTCATTTGGAATCAGTGATGAGTGACATGATTCGTTGTTACACGTCGTACATACGGCGACCGCAGATTTCGTCGTCATCGTTACTTAATCGCTACGGTGACCGACATGGCCGTGTTGATTTTCACAGCCTGTGCCTGTGCTCCCATCGATCCCCACGATGCCTGTCCGTGGTGTGGCACTGTGGGTCTGTGGCTGTCCCGGGCACAGAGCACAGTGCACACAGTGCGCTTGCGGATGGATGGGGCGGATCCAGCCGTCCATCGGGGGCGATCCGACCGCCGCACGAACGCGCGTAGCCCAACCGCGGTCTCCCACCGCCCACCTGCCCTGTCCTTGCCTGCCTGCCATAAATGGGGGACGGTTGGTTAATTTGTTGGGGCGACGAAACTCGCTGGTTGGTCCGTGGCCTGATGCTGGTTCCACGTGAGAGAAACATGCTGAAACCCACTAGAGGAAGGAGAGACGACGACTTAGCGTGATCGGCTGGGGCTGGCTGGGCCTGGCCAGCCCCCTCAGTATGGTCACTGTTTATGTGATCCAACCTGCAGTACTTCTCTCTCATATAAACGAATCAACAACAACGATACAAATCAGTCAACCGAACATGCAAAGAAACAACAATGAAGCCAAGGCAGTGAGTGTGGTGCTGCCGTGCTGGTGCAGTGCTGCTGGTGTGGATCCATCAGGCCTATCCGTCCATCCAAATCTAATCCATCCGTCGTCAGTGGCGGGGTTTGCAGTTACATCACGCATCAGCATTAACATCTACCCCTGCCTAGCCTGTCTCGTCTCCTCTTCTCCCTCAAGACCGGTTCAGCGTGTAACGTACGTACTTCGTATACTAGTACAGCTAGCACAGGTGACTGACTCCTCAGGAAACATGCGGCCGTACACCATCACACGGTTTAATTTAATTCCATCTTGTCGTACGGGGGTGGGTGTACGTGTCATGACATCAAACAGCTCTGAGAAGCCTTGGAAGGCGCGGTGTTTGGCATCTGACGACGAGGTATTTGTGGTGGCTGACGACGTATGGACCTGTTGATTAGCGACTCTATGACGAGTGGGCCCATCCGGACAGTGTGGGGCGCTACGTGTCGCCATAAAATTAAGCCGCGGAGCCGCCGACCTGTAACGGAATCGTTGAACGGTGAAACCAGGAGAGTGTTTTCCGCGCTGAACCTTCTTCCCCGATTTTCTCTGAATCCTGTATAAATCCTTTGCTATTTCTACCCTAAATTCCCTTCATCAGCTATCATTGTTCCTAACAGGGTGTTCGCCGGCGAGTCATCCTCCATTTTTTCGTACGAGCACGTCGAGCCTGCCCTGCCTTGGACGACGACCTAGGCCCAAGTGGATTCACGTTTAATTAGAGGATCTCCAGGTGTCTTGTAAAACAATCTCCTATTTTGATTTTTAACATAAAAAAGAAAATAAATCCTCCCCAATAATTTGGTGAAAAAGACTCTTTAAAAATAAAAAGCTTATCCATTATTTTTTTCAACTCGTAAGTTTTTCATCAGGGTCAAGAGTAACTCTTTATCAGATCACCATCCGGTGTTTTTCTAGAGAAATTGGAGTAAATTAGACCCATGAGTAAGTTAAGAAAATAAAAGGTTACATGCGAGAAAACAATAAGAAACAACGAAACTATTAAAAAAATGTTTGGTTGGTTAGAAAAAGCCGGTGTTCCCAATATAAAATCATTACTATTGGAGAGAGAGAGAAATAAACTAAAGTTGCTACTTATTTTCTTAACTCATTAAATTTGTTGGTTTAGCAAGTTCATTACAGAAAAATACCTGGAGTTGCTCTTAGCAAATAGCTACTCTAAGGCCCTCCACAATGTGTTGCTTAAGTGCTGCATAGAAAGGATAGAGAAAAGTAGAGCACCGCTTCTAACACTGTGAGAGGTGCTGCCAACTCTGACCGACGCCAAGAAAAGAGAGAGCGGTGAAAATTCTTGCGCCGGTTCCAACTTCTTAAAAAATTATAAATAGACTGTAGAAGTTCATCCACTTCAGGAGGAACGGGAGGACTAGGAAAATTTCTAAAGCGCGACTGAAACAGATGGTGGGGAAGACGATGATATTTTATTGAAGCTGTGGGTCCCACTTAAATACGTAGCATCGGTTCCACCTACCTTACCCATTGCAGCTTTACTTGGCTGATGCTTAATTTGCTGTAGCTGGACCCACAAATTTTCTGGCCTCACTCCCACATTGTGGACGGCCTAATAACACGATACACACCGAGACCTAGCACATGAACCAATCCAATAGATTTCATTAGATTCCCCAGAAAATATTCCAAATAATCCACAAAATGGATATATCAAAACTTAACTCTGTACACTTGGCCATCTCGCGTTCAGGGGTAAAAGCATCAAATTCATACCCCACTTAACACCGCTAGTGAAGTAAGAAACCAAAGTTGTATTCCAGATTAAATAAATAACCTCAAAACTAAAAGGGCCAAGGATGAAAGTTGAACTTTTGTTTAGGGCCAGGAAGTAATTTTCTCTTTTACCTTTACATATCTTCCATTTGTAACCTGCTGAAGCAGCCCAAATCATAACTTAAAAAAAATGTGAGGAACCTACTGTAGAACTACAAAAAAAATATTACGTTCACAAGTGTTATACTTAAAATCAATCACCTCTTTTCAAAGCCTTTTGTCATCTAGGTTATACCTTTTGATCCAGAACCGTAGTAAGCAGGCATTCAGCTCTTTAAGATTGGGGATGCCTAAGGCCCAATGCTCTTTGGGCATGGCCACTAACTCCCAATTAGCTAAATGTTAATTATTTGTGCTTGTCATCCCCCACATTTAGTTTAGTTTAGTTGCACTTTTGGTCTACATGGTTTAATTTCCCATCTCAATCCCTTCCAGCTATGAAATAGGGTGTGGATTGAAGTGCAACCAAATAAACCTTTTAGGTATGCTATGACCCTATTTAGTGGAGTTTCGTCTGACCCTGGCTCTGGATTCTTTTTTCCCTATGCACTGCTGTAGTAAGAAACCATTTCTATCTCTCAAAAATAAATTAGGAGCAAGTGAAGCCATTTTTTCTAACCACCGGACTCTGACTTCTCTGTACGTAGCAATGAGCCGGGGCCATTTGAAGCCATACCAAATGGGTATATGAGCTACTGCCTCGCTTATAAAAAACACGATTCTAGATTCAGAGCAGTCAAATTTACTAAGTGGCCAAATCGATAAAAAAATATCAACTTTTATATATCTAAATAAGTTTGTATGGCAGAGGCTTTGGCTGGGACCTCCGTCACACAACACTATTCAAACAGCAGCAGCCGGCTGCAAATAAGTTCTACCGAAAATGTTAGTATTTTTTTGTCAAATTTAAAATTGTTTGACTATTTGAAATACGATAAAACTGCATTCGTTTTTTGACCGAGCTAGGAAGGCTATTGAATCTCCATTCTGGCCGGGCGCGAGATGGTGCGCGTCAAGCCGTCCACAGGGTCAATGCAATGCAATGCAATGGTGACAGTGTCAGATAGTATATGCGTCATGTTCGCTTGGCTTATAAGCCGTACTTTTTCAGCCAATAAACAATATTTCTCTCTTGCAACAAATCAGCCAACAATACTTTCAGCTATGGCTTATCAACGAAAGCGAACGGACCAACGGTTGCAACCGAACAAACGAATGGCAACCTCACAACCAACCCTGGATTGAATTCTTGTCCGAGCCAAGGATGGATGAGAGCTCCGACTGGGCCCAGGATGCATGGCCGCCCGCCCGCCATGATGCACGTACGCCGCTGCCACGCATGCCACTAAGGATGAAAACGGTCGAACTCGGTCGAAAAACTTCTCAACCGTCTACTTTTACATTTGAAATACGAAAGCGAAAGTGAAAGCGGACAAGCCGGACACAACGAACACGAACACGAACTTAAAGTTGGAGCAGTGACGCTGAAGTCCGCTGAACTTTTCTAGTGGCTCACAGGGGATTGCGATCTTTTTAATGGTGTCGGTGTTTCGGACCGGGGTCCTCAATCAACTAGTAAATGTGAACTGCGTGCCCCTAATCCCGGATGATGATGTAAAGAGATACAAGGTTTATACTAGTTCAGACAATTGGTGCCCTACGTCCAGTCTGAGAGATCGATCTTGTATTCCTTGCACCGAAGGGCTTGTAGTAGGGGGTTACAAGCTGGCTGAGAGAGGGAGCTTGTCCCAGGTCTCGGCGTGGAACAGTGCGGGCTACTTGAGACGTTGCTCTCAGACAGTTTGGGAGAGCGTGTGTCTACGTGAGTCTATCTCCGTGAGTTCGTGAGTTTCCCCCCTCCCCATAAGAATGGCCCCGGTCTCCCCTTTTATAGTTGAAGGAGGGACAGGGGTGATAGATGTGTTCGCCATGCGGCGAGCGGAGGTGGCGTGCTGAAGTCCTGTAGCTTACTACTGTAGCGGCATGGTCAATGGAGTGGTCTTGTCCTTGATGTACTGGAGCAACGCGTCGGTCACACCCGATTTCGTATGACGTGGGCGCTCCAGTGACAGCTTGAAGCAGGGTATGGCCGACGGTGTGCTGGTCGCTATGGGTTGACGGTGAAAAGAACCGAGGCTCAGTTGGTGCCGAGGCCGAGCCATCGTGGCGGGGGGGCTCGGTGGGAGCGAATCCCGAGGCTGTCGAGACCTGGAAGTGGATTGCCGAGGTCTTGGAGGGAGCAGTTGGTCTCATGCACACGACTCAGGAGGCTCTGATGACCGTGCACTCGCTTCCCCACGCCGTCTTGCTCCTAGGCGAGGAATTAGGTAACCTGATCTGATCGGCGCCCGAGCATGGGTGCGATCTTTGAGCCACGATGCTGATAACCCCTGTTTAAATCTGTCTCACGTCCCGTCGGCCACCTGGCATGTCTGCATACGTCCGTCGGTGGCGTCGTCGTCAGGGGTGGTTGGACGCGTGATGTTTTGTTAGAGAAGTCGGTCGAGGCGGAGGCGACGAGGTTGTTGCCGAGCCGGCCTCGAGCGAGTCGGAGAATTGGTACTTCGTCCGAGGCTTCACTCGCAGGGCCTCAGGCGAATCGAAGAATCGGTAACCCGTTC